CCCTCACTGCCCACCCTGCAGTGCCCACCCTGCCCGCTCTGCACACCGACCCCGCTGCTGTCCCACCCTGCGCTGCCCACCCTGCAATGCCCACCCTGCAGTGCCCACTTTCCCCTCACTGCCCACCCTACTCTGCCCACCCTGCCTGCGTTCCCTCTCCTGCCGTGCCCACCCCGCTGTCCGGCAGCGTTTTGGGTGCAGCCGTGGCTTCTCCAGAGCCACCAGGAGATGGGCAGGGAGGTGGCAGCGTGGTGGCCACGCTGTGACCCCGCAGGAGGGTGACCCAAGAGGCTTCTGAGAGCCCCAAAGTCTCCCGGGAGCGCTGGAAATGCCTTGGCCCCAGGAGTTTGCATCTCGCCTCCACAGCCAAGCCGGGGCAGGTCCTTGCTGGTCCTCCCATCTGGGAGAGGCTGGAAGGTGATGCCGAAATATTTGGGGTCTCTGGGGACTTGTGCAGTACAGGTGGCTCCTGCCACAGCCTCTCCCTGCAGGGTAAAAACGAGAGGTTTGCGGCAGATAACCTCTGCTCTGGTTTGTTTGGGATCTTGAGAGCAATTAAATTATCTCCATTCCTGCCCCTCTTTCCATCCCTTGTCCAGGAGACAATAGAGAGCAGGAAATTAAGAGTGACTGTGAACAAAGAGCCCCGCGCTGACGCCGCTGAGTGCGGCGGGAGCTTCTCGTTTTCACTTCGCCATCCACTTCCCAAGGCGGATCTAAAGACATCAGGTCCTGGAGCAGCGGCAGAGTCGTTATCAGCCTCATTAATCTTTAGGAGGCAGGAAAAAGCTGCTTCTGCTGAAGCTGATGTGGGAATTAATGTCCCGGGAATGGAGGGAGGGGGTGAAGGAGATGCTGCCGGGAGCGAGGATCGGATCTCCGGGCTGCTGCCTTTGGGCTGTCCCGAGGAAGGGAAATCCCTGGCACCGGCCCCCCGTGCACTGGAGGAGGGAGAACAGCCCAGGAGAGGGGTTTGGTGCCTTGTGACCTCTCCAGAGCTGTTTTATCCCCTCCTGGCTGGTTCCTGTGGCCAGGAGCGATGTGCACGGAGCAGCTACTCCCAGCGCTGCCTCCTTGAGTTTCCCCTTGGAACGGGGGACGCTGCCACGTCCCTGCCTTGGGATCCTCGGCCACCAAGCCCTGGCACCGAGAGCACCCCAGGCCGGGCTGGCAGGGGCCTCTCCCGGCCTGAGAGGATCCAGAGGGCTGGAGCAGTGAGGCAGGGCGAGCACGGGGGGATCCCAGGGTGCTTCCAGCTGGCTGGAGCTGCCTGTGGAGCATCAGGGCTCCAGCCTCTCCCTGCCTTTCACTTCCACCTCATCGGGAAGCCGGGGCCAGGGAGCTGGGGGAATCCAGCCAGTTCAGCCTGGCTGAACCCAGATCTGATCTTCATTAAAAACCCCATAAAATTAATGAAACAACGGCCCGGTGGGTATTGAGGAGCTGATCTCCAACCAGGAGGAGGGCAGCAGCAGCTGGCTGAGTCAGGAAGCCATCCTTGAGCCTTTTGAGGGGATTCTTTTCATTTTTTTCCTCATTCTGCCTAGATTTGGGGCTGAATTAAAGCCTAGTGCAGAGTCTCCTCTGCGTCCCTGGGTGGTCCCTGGTTCGGAGGGATGCTGTACCAGCAGCTGGTTTGGTGCTGGCAGATAAACTCCTCTTTGTCCTTTTGCCTGGGAAGCATCCACTGCGCTGAAAAGCAATTTACTGGCAGGGCTGGAGAGAGGAGGAACACCCAGCCCCTTCCCACACAGCCGAAATAACCCCTGGGAGAGGAGCACGGGGGTTACGTGACCACAGAGAGGCTTTAAAAGCCCTTCCAAGTTTTCTGCCATTTCCATTCCCAGCCGTTCCTGGGAGTCCCTGTGGAAAACGGCGCCGTCGACCCCTGTCCTGGAAATGAGTGTTGTAAGGAGCTGGGGCTGGGATGCCAACGGAGGGGTAGGGTGAGCTGGCCTTTCTCCTGGATCCGTGGGCTGCAGGCGGGAGATCTCCGGCACTTTGCAGGAATGAGGGAGGCTGTGTTGGGCTGGGCTGTGGGGGGGTGCAGCTGCTGCTCCCCGGCTGGCAGGAGGGGGAGGATTTGCTCCTGCGTGCAGCCAGCCCGAGGATCCCTGAGGATCTGCCCTCAGAGGGACCCGGTGGCCCCAGTGGCCGTGGGGACAAGGCCAGCACAGGCAGGGATGACCGCGATGTTTCTGCCCCGGGGGCACTTGGGCTGGCGCTGCCCTTTCCCTGCCTTTTCCCTTCCCAGCTCCAGCCCCGGTGGCTCTGCTGGTTCCTGCCTGGAGGCGGCCTGGCCTCGTTTCAGGGATGCCCGGGCTGGGGGGAGGATTCGCTTTCTGCTAATTAGCCAGACAAACAGTCTGGGCCATGTCCCCGCACCCCGAGGCGCGGCAGGACCCGGCTGGTGGCTGCCAGATCTAATCGGGAGCGTCTGCAGCGCTGAAGGATGGCGAGGGAGAGGCGCCCGCGCCTTCACCTGCGCCCGCAGCAGCATCCAGAGCTGCCGGGATCCAGGGCAGCATCCCCACACCCAGGGATGCAGGGCAGGATCCAGAGCTGCCGGGATCCAGGGCAGCATCCCCATCCTGGGATCCAGGGCAGCATCCACATCCCGGGATCCAGGGCAGCATCCACACCCAGGGATGCAGGGCAGCATCCCCATCCCGGGATTCAGAGCAGGATCCCCATCCAGGGCAGCATCCCCACCCCTCAATCCAGCGCTCTCCGCACCCCCGGGGGTCTCCCCTCCACACCCCGCTCCAGCTCCTGCTCCTTCCAGACCTCCCCACGGGCTGTTCCTCCCTCCTCTCCCTCCCTCCGCTTCTCGCCCCGCCGTTATTTGCCTCTCTAATTGGTTTATTGATCTCTGGAGGGGCCGGGGCAGCTCGTGTTCGCTGTGAATCATATCCCGGGCACTAATGAGCCTCTGGCAGCCTCGGCCCGAGATCCCGGCTGCTGCCTGCGCTCGTCCCCGCTGTGCCCGGCTCCTCGGAGGCTCCTGCGCATTAAATCGGGGCTGAGCAGGCTGGCTGTGGTAGCCGGGCTTTGTTCCAGCTGGAAATGTCGCGGCTGGTGACAGCACGCTCTGATCCGCTCCGCTCGGAGCAGCTGCTGGAGCTCCCCCAGCCCCGAGGAGGGTCCCTCGAGTCCCCCCCGAGGGCAGGGGACAGGGATGAGAGCGTCCCTTCGTGCCCTGTGACAAACAGGTGACCTTAGCCCGCGGCATGGGGCCGTGACCCCGGCTGGCCCTGGCTCTGCCCTGTCCTTGGGGACATCCTTGATGTCCTCATTGCCCGTCTCGCCGTCCAGGCTGGCCCCAGCCTGACACAGATGGATTCGGGTTGGGAAAGAGCCCGGCCGTGAGCCCAGCCTGCACGGAGGGGACACTGCAGGGACACACCGCCTGCTCCCAGGGACGTCTGCAGCCCTGCGCGGGATGTGCCTCTCTGCCCCAGACGGTTTTGTGGAAAAGAATCCCAAAGGATTTGGGTCCCGGCTGCCCCGGGGGTCCCTGGAGCTGCCCCTTGTAAGGTCTCGGTCACCTCGATGGGAGGTGGCACCGGGTTTGTGTCACTTTTGGTGTTTAAAGTGAGTTTTTGGGGCTCTGGGTCTCCTCCTTCCCTGCTGCAACAGACAGGGCCCGGGGGGGAGCTGCCAGTGCTCCTGTGCAGGGCTGTGACACTGCGGGGACAGGGGTGTGACACTGCGGGGACAGGGCTGTGACACTGCGGGGACAGGGCGGTGACACCAGGACAGACAGGGCTGTGACACTGCGGGGACAGGGCGGTGACACCAGGACAGACAGGGCTGTGACACTGCGGGGACAGGGCGGTGACACCAGGACAGACAGGGCTGTGACACTGCGGGGACAGGGCGGTGACACCAGGACAGACAGGGCTGTGACACTGCGGGGACAGGGCGGTGACACCAGGACAGACAGGGCTGTGACACTGCGGGGACAGGGCGGTGACACCAGGACAGACAGGGCTGTGACACTGCGGGGACAGGGCTGTGACACCAGGACAGCCAGGGCTGTGACACTGCAGGGACAGGGGTGTGACACTGCGGGGACAGGGCTGTGACACCAGGACAGACAGGGCTGTGACACTGCGGGGACAGGGCTGTGACACTGCAGGGACAGGGCTGTGACACTGCGGGGACAGGGCTGTGACACTGTGGGGACACGGCTGTGACACTGCGGGGACAGACACAGCTGTGACACTGAAGTGTCCCTGCACACAGAGGTGACACTGGGGTCGGGAGGTGGGAGTTGATTTTGCTGACGCTCCTGCATCACCGTGTCTGTCCCCAACGCCACCCACATGTCCCCAGGCAGGGCCATCGCTGCCAGCCGTGTCCCCAGGGCCAGCCCTGCCGTGTCCCCAGCTGTCCCCCGCTGTCCTCAGCCCTCCCAGCACCGCCGGCCGGGGGTCCCCGGGGTGAGCTCGGTGTGTCTGTCCCCGTGTCCCTCCCAGCTGGCACCTGCATCTGGCCCTGGCAGCTAATGAGCGCCGCCGCAATTACAGCGCCAGGCTGATTAAATACTAAATGAGGGAGGTTCCAAGCGGCCCTGACCTCTCCCAGCTGGGGCAGCGGGGGCTGATCAAAGGCTGTGTCACATAAACTCATAAAGACGTGTCCTTCTGCCACCCCCTGCTCCTTCTGGCGCGGCACAGGAGGGGACAGTGACGGTGACAGTGACAGCGCCACCTTGTCGCGCCCGCCCGCCTCGCTTTGGGGCC